CCTCAATTTATTTATTTTTTCTTTTCTTTTATTTTATTTTATGTTATTTTTTTCAGTAAATTTTAACTTCTACATTCAATTTTGGCTTTAATTTTTAACTTGTAACTTCTACATTCAATCATAGCTTTAATTTTTAACTTTTAATCTTCTTCCTTTTACTTTTATTTTTAAAAAATTTTAAACCTTTACTTTATTTTTTTACATTACTTTTATTTTTTAAATTTTAATTTTAACTTTTAACTTTTAATTTTTAATCCAACCTTTAAAAAAATTATAGTTACTATGGATTAAGGATAATAACTTTATTAATTACTTTTACCATCAATTAATTATGAAGTAAAAATTTATATATTTTTTAAAAAATGATAAAATAATAAAATAATAAAAATTAATAAAAAATACCTAATAAAATAATAATAATAATAATAATAATAATAATAATAAACTAAAATTAAATAAAAAATTAAATCAAATTATCTAATTAGAAGTAGAAGAAGGAATTGTTTTGTTTTTAATGAAGTTAAAGAATGAATTATCATTGTGAATGTGAATAATGTTAGAGGATTTGATTAATAACGTGGTGTTTTAAGAAGGATATGTAATAAGTGGATTAAAATTTAAATAATAGCTTTATGTTAAAATTTATATAGTTAATTCACTTATTGTAAGTTAGAATAAACTTCCAATTAGTAGAGGTTTATTTTAGCTAACAACCATAGAATCTTCTAAAAATGATTGAGGTGGTTATCATGGTGGAGCCTATCTCTACAGTCTTCTAAAAGGATAGTTATCTGAGTGGGGTCTACTATTAGAGACATTTTAGAAAGTTCTAGGAATAGTTGAATAAAACATAAATATGACTGGCTGAGGCTATTTGGGTATTTGATCAGATATGGCTTCAGATTCTTTCTCTTAGTAAAGTTTGGTTATTTTTTCTTGCTTTGTTTTGTTTGGTTCCATTCGCTTTTATTCAATTATGTCTTTCATGTTCCATTCTATTTAGCTACTTTCAATTTTGTTCTGGTGTATTTGGTCTTACATTGTGTTGGGATCTTTATTGTTATAAAATTGATAAGGTTTTAGACCTTAGAGAATCTAGTCTTGTTTCACTTTACTTTCTTAATAAGAATTTTAAAAATAAATTTAGGAAGCAAGGCCTTATACATTGGCCTTCTATAGTACTTGTTAATCTATTAAAAAATTTGCATAACCTAATACACATCACATCAATTAAAGATAAGTTGCACCTAATCCCCTCTATATATTGTAGTTGCCAAAAATACTAAAAGAAATCAAAATTACAAGTAAAGCTTTGTCTTTCACGCTTATTGAGAATTGTTGCATATCTACCATATTAAAAAACTAAAAAATAAAAAAATAAAAAAAACTAATAAATATAAAAATAATTAGTCTTATATTTATATAATTATCATATTAGTCTATAAATCTAAGCATATTTTTTTAAGCTAAAGCCATCTTGCATTGCCATCAAACTTAGAAAGAATTAAGTACTAGCTATTAACTTCTATCATAGTTAATTTAATAAGCTATATGCTAGATTACTAATTTTATGCTAATTCTAACACTTTAAGTTCCTAAGTGCTCTTGTTGATTGCTCTATTGTCATTTCTTATAAGTTACTTGTTATTGTTAGCTATAAAAATAATTGCTAGTAATACCATTGAAAAAACAAAATATCAACAAAGAAGAAAGAATTGTCTCTCATCTCTCTAAAAACACCAAATTATATGAAAGCATTAAATCCAAAGTAGTTATCCCTTCTTTTGAATGGAAACTAGTGACACTAGCTATATACTTAAATAGAATTTCAATAGAAATTATTATTAAAAATATATTTAATTTAAATATATGAAATTTATTTGGAAGATAATTAATTTTATTTATAAGAAAGAAGGAACATAATGCTAATATATTTATAAATTTGAATAGGATTTAGAATAAGAAATTATTGGATTAAATGGATTATTCAAGCTTTGATGGTATTATTTTTTAGGATAAATATCTGACTCTACAATAAGATGTATATTGAAAAAATGTTAGGGCAGGGATTTTGGAATCAAGTAGGTTTTCTAGATAGGTTTGTATCGGAAGGGGGTTGCTAGAGTTTTTTGGGCAGTGGAATTTAAGACTAGTTTAGAATTTTTTATACCATTTATTGGATTTTTTTTATCTTAAATTTTTTAAAAAAGCTAGATCTTGTTGTTAGCTTTTCAATAAGCCCTAGCACACAAGAAAAAGAATTATACTAAGAGAGATCTAAGCTAATTTATAGATAAGGATTTTGAAGACTACGGCTACAATAAGTGACCAATGTTTTTTTTAGTTTGGCTTTCAATTACTTTAAAATTTATTTGTTGACTTTGACATTTTGAAGTTTATGGCTTAAATTAAGCTCAATGAGTTAAATTTTGCCTAGATTGAATTAGTAATAAGTGATTTATAGATATTTTAGTGACAAGAGATTTAGGTTTCAGATTAGAGTTAGAAATTAGGTGCATCTTGGCATAAGAAAGATTTTAATCTAAAATTTGTACTCAACCTTTGAACAACCTGTGATTGTCGTTTTACTTATTCTACAAATTCCTTTCAGAATAAACTTGTAGAGGGAGATTTGAACGCAAGGAAAGACTAACTGCATGAGCTTACACGATAGGGTCACACAATTAACCGTATTCCGAACGACTAGAAATACCAAAGAACACTACAATGCTTTCTCCCACTAACGATATTCCTTCATCAACTGATAACATTTCCACTGGAGTGTTGTGTGTGGGAATCTCAAGAATGTCGGCAATTTGCAAAGAATTAAAGACTACAAAATCAGATGTAGATTAAATCGGATGAATTCCCACAGACGGATGATACTATGGCATGAAGGGATGAATTATGACTGATATCATTCATCCACATTAATGCTGTTCAAAGATATAATTCATCCACATTAATGCTGTTCAAAAAGCAAACAACTGGTCTGAAAGTTAATAAGGAACAAGGATTCGTTTTCCCCCAATGATTTTCTGCCACGTGTCGGAGGGTTGTAATTTACATTTGCTTTTGCTTTTTCTTTCTGACTCGATGTGGTTGTCCCGCTCAATTAGGGACCCGTTCATACTGCGCAACTTCAGTTAAGTAGATGTTGTGAGCGGTCAAGGGAGCAAGACTGATCCGCCCCCTCCTCTTAGCGTCAAACAATATAAAGTGAGGGGTTGTTGTTGCAGTACTGTGGTCCACACTCCTGTGGTGTAATCAGTGTGGTTGCAGATCCATACAATCATGCTTTCAGTGCCGCAGACACATGCGAAGTCCATGACCGGCAAAATGAAATAGATAAATAGGAAAATATGAAGACGATGAAGAAGGAGAAGACGAGAAAGTAGAGGAAGGAAGCAGTACTAAAGAAAAAGTAGGATTTGAAGGACAGCTCCGTTGCATCACACTTCAGGAAACCACCGCAAAAACATGGCTCGTCTTTTCAGAGCTCAAGGTGAACGCGGCAACCAGATTTATTTTTATTTTTATTTATTTTTCCCTTTTAAAAAGAACCAATAAAACTGTGCAGCTTCCTTCGTTTCACTCGCAAGGTAGGCGAGAATGTGAGTCAAGTGCCGCGCGTCTGCCCGTTCAATCACCTACAATTGATGGATTGCTTAGGTTTTGATGGCCTACAGAATCTGAGCATTCTTTGGGTGTAAATGCATACTCAAGATTTCGTTGGGAGTGCGTCGTGATTCTATTCGTTGATTCAGATATCTGGCTATACATGTACAGGGGGGAGGAACCAGAAACTACGGGCAGATATGTGCCTAATGCCTTTACCCAAGTACTTAAGAGTAACAAATTCTTCCGACTGCAATCAAATTCTCACACAGCGATCTGATGCCTTCATGATTGTTCGATTACCACCAACTCGAGATGAATAGAAACTTGGATTGCGAAAGGCAACCGTAATTCAAGCTCATCTCCGAAATGATTGTGGTGTCACGACAGCCCAGATGACCTTCAACTTGCCAATCTGCTGATAAGAGGGCCGAAAAGGAGATCCAGAAGCGAAGGCGTGGGGCTTCTCGCAGGACCCGTGGGCAATGCGTGTCACGCAATCGCACTTTATAGAGCTCGTCTTCTGAATGTTCTTCCCATTTATGAGTTGGTCTCTCTATCCATGGAAACCACAAGCTCAAGGTTGACTTAAGCATGAATAAATTGGAATAGAGTGGAGACGGAGCCTGTCCAAAAGCGGAGGCTGGCATGCCCTTCTCATAGAGTAGGTTCTGTTGGGATTTGCTGTTTTGGGACAGCTTGCGCGTCATTCAAACTCCAGGATTCGGTGGAATTTCTCCACTTTCGGTCGTGATCTGATAAGACTAATTAGCTTTTTCACAAACATTACCGCCTTCTTGAGAATTATTTGCGCAAACAAAATAAGATATAGTCTCAACAGCAGGATTGAGCCTTTTCCTATTTTTAGAAGTATTATTCTAGAATATGTGCAGAGGAGATTATTCTCTGTGGATTGGGAAACAGCGGACACAAGCGTAGGCGAGGGAGTGCGTGGCTTGCTGCGAGACGAAGAACTTGGAAGGATTGCGTTGGTGATGATGAATTGTGGTCTTGAGGTGCAGTGGCAGATTTACCGAAAGAAATCTTGAGGTTCAAGGCAAGAATAATTAATGGCCCTGGATGCCAAGCGGGAGGAAGATTCATGACCAGAATAGGAAAAAGTAATTATGACGACAGGCGACAAAGTAAAATGAGAATGTTGGAAAAGTGGCCTAAGGCTAGTAAAGAGGTTAGGGACTAGTAAAGAGGAGCAGCACGTCTGCCATGCGCAGGCGTGCCGTTTCGTAAATGCCATTCTAGTGGGCTGTACGTTGCCCTGGGGTTGCTCAATGCGGTAAGCCACACGTATCATGCGGCGGACTCCGCAATCTCCACAAGGATACATCCCAGTCTGACCTTCAGAGGCCCTCCCCCCCCCCCCCCCCCCACTCCCCATCCAGCTCTCCAGTGTTTCATATTTCGGTTGTGATTGGAGATCAGTTGGAGACTATTCATTTCTGTCAGGCTCCAGCAGCTGTCTGTCTGAAGATCGAGGCGCCTGTGACTGGTCCGCTGCTTGCTATGATACACGTTGACGACGCTCCGTCTTTAATATCATTGCGGTCCTCAAGGAACCCCTAAGTCGCGAGACTTGTTTTAAGGGGATGAACTGCGCGGTTGGCCATTAGTGGATCATCCACACTGTTGCTTTAGTTGGCTTGAAATCCTCATTTCTTTTTTTATTCAAACAAATTGAAAAAGCAACTGGCAGAAGAATGCTTTGGTGCTATTTTAGCATTGCATCCGCCAGAGGTCGGTAATCTTGACGTTCTAGAGCTTTGAAGTAGTGCGGTGATTGGTGTGACATATATATTTTGTTGGGCATAGATACTTGTTGTAGAAACGGTCGGCACCATGGGCCTGTGCATCCGTGACATTTTGCTCGAGCCAGAAGAGAAAGAGGGAGTTTACAGCGACGCAGAGTGGGCGATGTCTGATTCGGAATCTGACGAAGAGCCGATAGCGTTGCAAAGAGTAGACACCCCAGGGTTTCTGAAACGGACATACGGCGTTCTTGCTTACGATTCATCGTTGGAGCGCAAGCACAAATATGCGAAGCTTGACGAGCAGCTTGATGACCTACGAGCAGTTCTTCCAAACGCAACAAAGGTGAGTAAAGTCCTTGAATCGCTCTACGAAGCTTTATGTGGACTGGCTGCCCCTGGTAGCAGTCTGTCAACACCACTGAAGATATTGCTTAGTTGGTTCCATCAAAGAGCGTACAGTTTGTTTGAGAACTTGAAGATTTCAGTGAAAGGATATTGTACGGGTTCTGAAACCCCGCTTGTGAGCTTATCTGGACATTGTTGCTTTTGTCAGAGTAAAGAACGAACGTCTGTTGTCTTGGACGCGTACCAGTATATCGCGACATTGCAAAGGCAAGTGGATGACCTGAGTGCCGAACTCTTGGAAGAGGATGTTTTATCTCCCGCTCAAACGCAAGATGAGGAATGCGATCAACGTGACACTGTGTCAAGTTACAGCAGTGTACACGTGCAGCCTCTGGTATGTAGTTTAGCATTGCTTCTATTACTAAACGTTTTGTTTCAGGTCGAGATACAAGATTTTCAGGCTTTAGCCACAGCAGTGGAAATTGAATACCTTGAGCTTCCATGTGTGTGCAAACGTCCTCACTTCGAAGATTCTTGTGGATCAGGTGGAAGTGGTCAGAAGAGATGGGCTTTTGGAAGTTTGGATAGTATGTGCCAATCGACCAAGTCTTCTGGTGGACGTCATGGAAGCAGTCGAGTCCAGAGGACTGGCGGTCACGCATGCCAGGATTGCTTGTCACAATGACATCGTCTTCGAATACCTGAGACTCGAGGTGAGAACTCGACCGTGTATAATAAGTGCTGCGATTGGAAATGCCAGTTCAATGAAAGGAATTACTTCAAAGTCAGTTAATAGCAGTCGCACCAGCTTCTCATGTCACACTCTAAAGCGATCGAAATGATGGAATTAGCAGAATGAACATTCAGCTCCCAACTCGAAAGCGGAAGAGACGAAGGAAGAGGACGTGAAGGATTTCGAAGCCAGCGTGAAGGCGATGCTTGTGCATGCCATTTGCAATGAAGCGTCACACGTCAGACTTCAGTGATATGCTCAAACAGTCACTGCTGATGATCCACAATACCTCTACAGCTTCTGTGAAATTGTACCATGACCTCCACAGTCTCGCATGAAGATTAATTCCGGGTTTAGGTTTCGTACCGGCTCCGATGCGAAATTTTCAGCACTCCTTGGTAATGTTTCCAAGGCATTAAGCTACTCGGACACACAGATTGGCGCATTGAAGGCAAATATACATCCTTCAGTTGTACTTCAGTTGGTACGAAACCCTCAGAAAGCAGCGGCGCGCCTTGTAATCGACATATCGCAATAGCCACATATTTCTTTAACAGATGAGCTCATGCTCGATGATACTCTGCGCGAAAGCTAGGTCCAAATTTACGTTGATATCACGGTGCGTGTGAACGCAATCTTGTAACAATATTGTTTCAGACTCTGATTCATTCGATGTAATATATCTGCTCTATGTTGATTGACGCAATGCACACCACGTCGCAACCTCTTGCCTCTGGTCATCCTCAAGCCAGAGAATAGATGGAAAAGCTCCCGTCTACTCGACAAATGAGTATCACTCTTTGTGAATGATGAATAAAATTCTCCAGCGGCTTATAAATGACATGAAAACGTCGCTTGCAGACATTGTGAGGTGGACAAATGGTACAGATTTCACAATATATTCTCCAAACTGCTGTGAACATCAAAATACAGTTGTTACCTCACTTCTTCACCTGCCAATCTGCGTCATTTGTAATGTACACGCCATTTTCCAAGGTTACAAGGCTAGTCGTGTCGGCGGAAAAGTAGAAAAATTGCCAAATAATGACGAAGATCCCTATCGTCATACGCGCAGTAAATATGGCGACAGCTGATTCATCTGAAGAATGAGAATAATTCACGGCAGGGCAATGTAAAAGCGTGGAGCTTACTGGGCGAAAGATCACCTGCAGTCGGCACGACTACCAGAGAAGGCAGTACTGTAGAAAAGTCACCTTGAATGTCTCAAGCTGTATGATAGAACACTCGTTCAATGTTCCAGAACAAGATTCCTCACTGCAATGTAACTCCGCAATAGTTCTGTGGACTGTAAGAAAGCGCCTCCAGGTACTTTGCCCTAAACGCTTGCGTCAGGGCTGGCTTTCGAACAGATGACAAGCAGGTGCCACGTCGCGGAATTCTGTCCACTCCATGACAGCGTTGTAAAAGCCCCGACGCCATCTTCTAAGGATTAGTGCGTTACGGGGCCAAGCATCCCGACACGCATCGAATAGGACCAGCGAACGACGCGGATGGTCGGATGCTATTCGATATGAATCATCGCAACAAACAAATTTTTCTGGAAGAAAGGACCACGGACCGCGCTTTAATCGAAGTGCGAAAGAAATTGTTACATAAGCCGTGCTAATGCTTTTCCGCTGCAATGTGCGATGCCCTTGAGGTTTCAGTTTGTTCTGACCGTGCGCAAGGATTCTTTCCTCCGAGACACACGCAGCAGCTCAGTCAATCCTGGCACGCGCATCTCCTCCCCTAGGGATCATTTTGTTTCTTTCCGTCACTCTACCCTTCATGCGGAGACGGCGCTTCCGTGCCCTACGCAAACTCTCCTCTGATTGGTTTCTGCCAGCTGCGGTGCTCCTGGCCAGCGCCATGTTTTGCAGCGACGTCGTCACGAGCAAGAGCTCTGAGAGGGGTAAGTTCAATCATCATCGTTACACGTTTAGTAGTGCATACCCGTTCATTTCAGCACACTAACCGTACTAATAAAATGTACACATGTTAGAAGTGATGCTATCATGGTGTTATTGTAGAAAGGTTTTCATTCCCACGTCTAACTTTACTTCTATTTTGGAGATATCATCAACATTGTGAACATTTCTCAATGATTTTGTTTTTGATTTCCAAGATTCTAAAACATCTCTACTAAAGTCTCTTTTCTATGGAAAGAAACTCTTCATAGGGTGAATGAAATCTTGAATTAAATTCTGTGAAAACTTCCCTTAAAGCACTTGAGGTCAAATTTAAAGATACACATGAGGTCAAAGCCAACAAAGGAGCTTGTTTATCTTTCTAAGGTTTATTCCTATCTTGACTTATTTTGTGTATATATGTATATGCACACAAAATAAGAAAATGAGATTTTTATGTGAAAAACATTCCTGACAAAGCTAAAAGAAATAAACATGAGGAAGTCATGTGGTTGAAATTTTACCACTTCTATTATTAGGTAGATTATTAACTTTTTTTTACAAAAGATGTCTAAAAACAACACAAAAAATAATAAAAATAAAAGGATTTTTTATAGATTTCTTTTTGATTAAAAAAAAAAATTTAACATGTTATGAAAACTCTTAAAAATTTAGTGACTTAGAAAAAGTGTATTACAACTTAACACAAAAAAATGTACTAGGTGGAAGTAACCTAGGTGGAAAAAGTAATAAAAAGGAGGATGTATTCAATAAGAAAATAAATTTAAATTAATCAAGAGATTGAATAAGAAAAAACACAATAATATCTTATAATTGTAATTAAAATTTAAGTAAAAAATAGACATATTATAATCATTTAATATATTTATTTGAAATAAAATGATAAAAATTTGAGGCATAATGATTTATACAAATAAAACAATATGAATTTATAAATCGAAAGAAACTATACAAAAGCAACATAATTTGACTTAATTGAATTGTACTAAATTAATTGATCAATCCAACTTGGTTGATTAAATTTAATTAATCTAATTTCTTTGTTAAAATTGATATCTAATTAGAATAGATACTAAAATTTAAGTAGTTTTTAAAATATAAGTAATTAGATATCAAATAAATATAAAGAATTTAATGCATTATAGAATAAAAATTATAAAGATTTATAAATTTTATATAACTTTATTTTATTATATGTGTATTTTTTTTACATTTACAATTTGATTTTAATAAAAATTAATCTCTATAATTTTATAATTATAATTTTATTTTTTTTATTTTTTATTTTTATTTTTTATTTTAAAAAAAATTCATCATATTTCTATATCTATGCTTACCATTCATCGCAAATTTATCAATCTTCTGAGTTCTAATTGGTAAGTTATTACTCCAAGTAAATGACAATATAGTTGATTAGGATCAAGTGTGCTACCATATTTGATGCATGAATTTATTCATAGTTTATCTACATATTTATATTAAGCTTCTAATGTTTAATCTACATTTGAATTTGAAAGCTTATCATGCATCTTATTTCTATTGAATTCAATGATTAAACATCCTTTCTAAATTAAAAAGATTTGTTGACTATCTTCTAAGACTACAAATCTAAGAGCAAGTTTACTTTTTCTATCCAATGTTTAGAAATCATTTACAACTACATTAATATTAATTGAAATTATGGCAAGTAGTGCCAAGGACATGAATCTGAAAAAAGAAATCTTCAATAGACTCTTGTATCATTGAAAAGATCTAGAAAGTCACTCAAAGATAATATAGTATTGAATTAAAATAGCTATTGCCAAAAACAAGAAGACTAGAAAGTCTTGAAACAAGACTAAAGACTAAAAAGGCATTGACAAGAATAAAGACGGCTTCATTCTTGCCTCCATATATATTCTTAACAAGGAACTATATGGCAATATCCTGTAGGACCTCCAAAACATGTTGACTTTGCAAGATACATATCTAAACTTGTAAAGCAAGTTTTCTATATGTACGCCACATAGTTAACTTGTTCCACAAGCCAACAACATGTGGTTACTTTGTTGACTAAGTTTCTAATCTACCAATCAATTATAAAGACATGTAAAGTCAAAATAACATCTATGAAGCTTCTAAGAAGCTATTCTAAAAGGTATTATGAAATTAACCTACTTTTATCTATTTTTACTTATTTCTACCTAATCATATAAGTATTTACTAGAATACGTATATATATCCATGATATATATTATATAAATTGATAAAATATTATCAAGAGTTGCCAACAATGCAACATGATATTACAACATATTTGTTGTTTTTTTGACAATTGTTAGACAAAGGAAGAAGAATGGCTTTTAGAGATTGATTATCAAGGCCAATAATTATGGTCATTTATTATTGCATGATATGATAAGTCATCTAAGTTGTTGATAGCTCTTTAAAGATAAAGATCACATTAAGAACTACTTAACATCAATAGTTTTATGTCATAACATGAGTATTAGCTGAAAGAAAGAAGAATTTATTATATTATAAAAATCTTATTATTAAATATAATAGAAAAGAACCTTCAAAATATAGATGAAATTTAAGAAGATATTAGAATTAATAAGTGTTAATACTATCTTTTTATAATAAGGACTTTTACATACTTTGGAAGACCATAAATAAGGCAAAAGAAGAGAGATTAATCAAAAAAGTATTATAAGCATCTTTAAGTAGATATAAATAATAGCAATAAAATAAATACTTAGATAAATCTTAAATTAATACCTATAGAAGGTTGATTATAAACCAAGATCAAAATCAAACTTTGTGGTACAAAATTGCATATTTATAATTGATGAGGTTTTTTCTTATCAATTAGAATAAGGATTTTGTAATCAAACTTGATAATATTTTTATGAGGATTGGTTTTGAAACATTTGAGCATATATTGATAACATGAAAGCTTCACAAATTCAAGATTTTTTTGAGTGATTCTATGTTGTATTGAATAATATATATATATATATATATATATATATATATATCTATATATATATATATTGATAAAATCTATAGATTTAGTAGATTTTACAAAAAAATATTAGTGGCTTTATAAAAATATTTTTATTGAATTTGTTTTGTAAGTTTGAGCTCAATTAAATACCAGGATCAAACATAAGTGAGGATCAAACATAAGTGATGTTCAAGTGAGTTAGGATCTCAAAAAGTAGGTTTAAAAAGTTAGTAATGATTTTTTGAGATTTTTAAAAATTTACAAGACTGACTGGAATAATTTCTTTGTGTATTAATAGTTGACTAATATCTTTATATTTAAATAAATTTTGAGACAAAATTAAAAATTCAAAAGCAATATATTGAAGCTAGAAATTTTGTTTTGAGGTTGGAGAAGAAAGATTGTTGATATTTGAGCAGAATAGAAGCATTTTTTTTGAATTTATAAGTAAGATCCTCTTCAAACTTTGTGTGCTTTTTTTAAATTAATAAATTAAATTATATAATAAATTTAAATCAAAATAAAATAATAATATAATAGTTATTATGATTTAAAATTTGTTGTAGTGTTGACTTAGGATTTGATTAGGATTTGTTAGGATTTATTTAAGGTTTGGTTAGGATTTTTAAAAATATTCTTAGGATTAAGTTAGGATTAATTTAGAATTTAATTAGGATTCATTTAGAATTTATTTATTATTTCTTTTAGATTAAATTTAAATTTTATTAAGACTTCTTATAATTTCTTTAAGATTTTTTGTGATTTTTTTAGATTTTATTATTTGTTTTTTTAA